TCATCCTTATCACAGGAGATATGGAATATGAGCCTGAGAAAGTCTTCTAAGCAAACTTTGTTACTTCATTAATTTGCCATCCTAAGCAAAAACCCCTTTGCTTTCAAACATAGTCATTATCTCCAACACTAGTGGGGTACAAAATATTCCTGTGTATAGACACAGGAATACACTGGGTTACAGAAACAGAAGTGTCTTGGAGGCACCTGGATGTATTACCCACAGCTGAAGACAGACTAGAAAGAGATGTAGATTTGAGAACTGGGGAAGAGAGATGTTTGGCATATTGAAACTCTTGGGGTCTCATCACTTTCATTGAAAGACCCAGATCCCCAGTGCTGCACCTCTTAGCTCCACCAAGACAAACTTTATCACCATCCTTCACTAACTCTATGTCCTTAGCCAGGCAATGTCATCTCATTGGACCTCAATTATCTGTAACCTAGCAGTAATCATGCATTAGAGATAGGGCATATTTTGAGAGTTCTTAAAATATTTGTATATATTTTCCCCTAGCTGCTTCATAAGCTGTTCCAGTATTTTTCCAATGAGAAAGTCTTTCTTTGGATCTATATTACTGGTATCTCCAAGAACTCCTATTTAAAATAAAATTTCCTTGACATATAAGAATAAGAGTTATAAAACTGTGCTCACGATATCAGACACTGCACTAAATAACTTGCATATTTTAATTCATTCAACCTCTTAAAAGCCCAGTAGGTAGGTACTATTTTTATTACCCATTTTACAGGTGAAAAAACTGGGGAAAGAAAAGTCAAAAACTGGATCCAGGTCTCACAGCTAGTGGTAGGATTTGAACCCTCACAGCCTAGCTCCAGAGTCGGTGCTTTGATGACTTCTACTACTATTAGTGTCATTAGTAGGATAAATCGTTAATGAATTACATTAGTCAGATCTGGATGCCTGATAAGTGCAATCAACTTACAGAATAAGGTTTTTCCAGAAGAGATTCAGGGCTGATGAACTGTAGTAAGAAGTAACGATGCTGTACTGTTTAATGTTTGGTTAGGCACCATGTTTAAACTCCTGGACATTTGGGTATAAAAGAGGATGTGCCTGGTGGAATGGGTACAAATAGGGACAAAAGAGTTACAAAGAAGGAGGAATCCTCCAAAGACATGTTCATATACTTTATTCTGACAGTACCTATCTGCCCCCAGTATTTCCGTACTGTTATCAATACATGTTTACCTGTTTGTATTTCCGCAGATAAGTTACTTGCCTAATGTGGTACCAAGTTCTTGTTCAATTTGTTGAAAAGTGAGAGAGTCTTTGGAGACAAAGAATCTGTAAAGCATTTCAAATATTTGATAGCACTTTCCCCTCCCTGCCTCCATTTGTTTTCATCTCGCTCATTTTATCTTGATTCTGTTGTAACAGATGCCGATGGAGTTTTTGACACTGAGAATGCCAGATCTATCATTAATGTGTTGCCAAACTGGGGAAGATTTACTAACAATATGTTTTGCCTGCATCAGTTCGCTTCTTTTAATAGAGAGACTCATTTGAATAACATCTGAATAAGGGAGTTAATAATAGTAGCCTAGAAGCGAAAGCCAGATTGGATTAATGAGCAACTGACCCGAATCTTCACCCTGAATTAAAAGTGAATGGCATTAGAATAATTTTGGAGGCACAAAATGTTCTGTCAATTCTAAAACCTCCTTCCACCCTTTTCCTGCTTCCCCTCCTGCTACAATATTTTTAACACAGTACTTGCCTCTGCCCCTTCTGGCTTTACTTGGGAGTCTAAGAAAGAATGTATTGGATTGACATTAAAGTTATTTCATAGTATCAGCAAAAATAATGTTCTGAAGTTGGTTACAAATTTTAATTCTTCAGAGATGATGTATTAAGTAGTTCATGCTGACATATATGTGTATATACATATATATATATATAATGGTTAAAAATGGTAAGGGAAATTAAGAAAATTTTCTTTTTTAAAAATGCAAATATGTAAGTATTTACAATGTTATATTCAGTTTGTGGGTGGAGGGAGATAGAAAAAGAGAGAAGGAGAGAAAGCAGAGTGAGAAAGAATCATTAATGGTTAGCCATCCAGACTTATGTATTTGTAATAAAAGCAAAAATTTTCTGTGAGACAGGATTGTCTTCTTTGAGAAACACAACATGAGCTTGTGCCTATCTAAATAGAAAAAATATATATAAAAGGTAGAGGGGTCCAAGGAAGGTATGTGTGTATGTGGGAGGTAATTGAAAGATTTACTTTATTTTGTAGCTAATTTATCAGAATTGAACTTCTAGGTTTTGTTATTAATCTTTATGAAGGGTTAATTATAGAACAAGTTAAAAAAACTTAAATGTACACCATGATAAATGTGTATAACTAGCTCCGAAATCAAAATCAGAAAATTGTCAGCATCTCAGCCATTCCCCTTTCTCCCCTACAAAAGGTAACCTCTAGCTGACTTCAATTTCCATGAATTCTCTTTGTGTTTGTATTTTATATTAAGAAAATCAGACAATCTATAATTTTTGGAGTCCAGTATCTTTCATCCTGTTTGTGAGATTCAACCATGTTGGTGTGAATAATAAAATAGGTCATTCATTCCCCTTCTCATGTGTATGACTAGACTACCATTTATTTATCCATTTTCTAGCTTAAAAATTGAGTTGCTTCTAGTGTATGGTTACTATAAATAATGCTGCCACAAAGATCATGTGTGTCATTTTTGCTCAATGTATGTGAATTTTTTTTGGTACTTAAAATATGAAAAATAATTTCCACAAACAAGAAAACACTGTTCCTAGATTTCTGTTTGGCTGGGGAATTCAAGACACTGTTTATAAACACACTTTGTGTCTAACTGCCTCTGATTTTTGTTTGTCATGAATTTGTCTATGTCAAAATCTCAAACTTCTCCTAGGAAGCACTTTGACTTCCTGAATTAAGCTGCACTTTCCCCTAAATTCCTGGATTTTACTGGAATAGGGACAAAAAAATAGTTTTTACTTAGTATAAAAATGGTCATTAAGTGGGATTTCTGACATGTCAAAATCAGTAAGTTAATATGCTTTAGTTTGAGGAAAATTAAGAGACAAAGCAACAAATACTCACTTTCTTTGAACCCTGTACTTAGAAATCAAAACAGTAAGTCACTCTAAGAATTTTGTGAAATACTTCTTATATTGGATTATAGATCTGCACTAAGTAGCTCAATTAATCATTAGCCCATTGATGGAGAGGATGTTCAAAATCAGCAGAGTAGAAAAGAGAAAATTTAAGTAGCACAGTTATAAAAATTTTTAAATACAATATTGAAAATACACTACATAAAGCAATTTCAAAAGCTTCTCTTGAAGAGAAGATTGAACACAGTTTCAATTCGTAAATTAAATTAAGATAAAACATAGACTGCAGGAACATTCCAGTAGGATTCTGGGGTAGACTCAGCCACTAACATAAGGAGAAACTTATCCTTTATTTTTAAAAGTAAATTCAAGCCCATTTAACCAGAAAAAAAATTAAAATGTGAAATTGTATTTTGGAAAATATTCAATGATGTGTGGTTAGACATTTACAAATAGCGTAAAAAAGTAAATAGGCTAGAAATTAATATAGTTTAAGGCTCTTTAAATAAAACAACCAAAAGGATCAATGATCTGTATAATTTAAGAGTCTAGAGATAATAAAATATATTGTGTTGCAAGTAAAAAGCCTTTAAAAGAACCAATATTCCACACTGGCAAAATTAAGAAGGATAACTATTAAAAATCTATCCAGTGATTCTGCTTCAAAGGAGTATTAACACTCCAAAATTCTCTGTCCTTCCTCTAATCTAATAGAATTGTTCATAATTACCAATGGGTAGTACAGCTTTCTTTTTTTAATGAATATTCCTATATACACATCTAATCCCACTACTACAGAATACCAGATACTTGAGAGAAAAAATTTAATTATCTTAAAAGTAAAAAAAATAAATCAACTTTTAAGATTGAAAAAGGAGAAAGAATTTTACATTAAAGTAGAAATGACTAGTTTAGCCAGATTGTGAAAGAAAGGTAATAAAAGACAAATTTGAGGGTATATAGTAAGTCATAAAAGCCTTGAGGGGAAATAAACTTTACCTTAGCTTAATCAAACCACTTAAAAACTAAAAATACCTACACGCCAACCTCTAACCCATATTTTGAGGTCATTATCAGAAGAAAGTTTTGTATTCTCAGTGGTACAACTCCTACAAATATAATAGTTAGAGTTTGCTCCTGGATAAATTGCACTGCATCTTTGACACATAATCAGGTTATAACTGATCTAGATACCAGAATGCCCATACCAGGTATGGCTCAAGAATTTATCAAAGAAATACAATGATGGCAGCATTCCCATGGGTCAGATAGCATGGATTAACTTTATATTGATCTCCTATAATACTTTTCTTTTTTACCAACAGGAATATGTTAGACCTTGCTCTACATATGCTAACTCAACAACATGGCATGTGTAGAATAACAACTGTCAAATAAAGCTTATCTGCTAGTTTAGCAGCCAAAACTTAGCTTCTTTACCTCCAAGCAAATACAAGCATTAAATCAGTCAAAATATCTTTAGATCTTGGATTCCAAGGTCTTTACATGTAATGTTACCATAGTAGTAAACCCCTGCTCCTAAAGAAACAACTGAATGTTTTTATACTAGTTTCTTAACAAATTATGCAACATCACTGCATTCTCCCCTACCTCCACTGGTTGTTGTTTAATCGCTAAATCGTGTCCAATTCTTTGTGACACGTGAACTGTTGCCCACAAGGTTCCCCTGTCCATGGAATTTTCCAGGTAAGAATCCTGGAGAGGGTTGCCATTTCCTCTTCTCCAGAGGATCTTCCTGACCCAGGGATCGAACCCACAGCTCTTGCCACGTTTCCTGCATTACAGACGGATTCTTTACCACTGAGCCCCAGGGGAATGCCCTTACTGCCACCGGTACAACAGTCTTAACCAGGGCTCTCAACCAATCCTCTTCTGAGGGGGTGGATTAATATTGTCTTTGTGTCTGAGAGTATGGTACCATGTATCATCTGAGGTCTCATTGTCTAGTTTGAAGTTCATGAGTTTTTCCTGACCCAGAAGAGCTGGCATCCCAGGCATAACCACAAGGAGGTATTTGGACAGCATCACTCCAGCTTTTTCCATATAAGGTGGAGCTGGGAGCAGATGGACCTCTCTTGTCATCTGCAAGCTCTTCCTCTGGTTATGATCCAGGAGGCTCAATGCTTTTGCCCCCTCTGGTATGAAAGTTTTTGATGATCTCCCTCATGTGCAGGAAGACCAAAGTCTTTCTATTCGCTTGAAACTTCCCTTGGTAATTGTCAACTGAGATTCTGTGTGTTAGTGTTCATTTGCATTTTTAAAAATCTTTAACACTTATATTTTTATAGCACTATTGCTGCTACTCTGGAAAGGCAGAAAGGACCACTATCCAAAATCTGGTTTGGGTGTCTAGACTGATGTCATAATTCCCCCTCCCCTTAAAATAATATTCAGAGTTTTTATTAGAGGACTGGAGTTTCTGGTGGGGGCAAGGCCTATCTCTCAAGCAGGTCCAAAATAGCTGATGAGACCAAGGAAAGGAGAGGTTCAGGATTTTATGTGCAATTAGGGGGTGATGCTGGGGTGAGGTTTCACTTACAAAGGGGCTTGCATGATTTCAATCTTTAACAAGTGACAAAGAGGGAACACCTGGGGTTTTCTCAGCTTTCCCATAAATGAGGCACAAGGGGAAGGGAGGAGGGTGAGGTTTGTAAGCTGACAGTAGTGCAACGTTCATAAACAGACCACTTGTCACAAGAATGTTGTGTGTCAGACATCGTTAAAAGCACTCAGCATCTATCAGTGGGCAAAACAGAGAACAAGCCTAGTTATCATTGGACTTTCATTCTATTTAGGAAAGACAGAACATGCACAACTGATACAACATGTGAGCAAAACAAATAGGATGTTAGCTTCCAGTGAACCATATGGGGAAGAAAGAGAGTAGAAAGAGGAAGAAGGATTAGAGTGCAGGGGGTGGGAGCAGAGGTGTCATTTAAAATAGAATTGTTAGAATGGATCTCACTGAGAAGGGGAAACTGAAAGAAGTAAGGCAGATGAAATTGTTAGCCCGGCAGAACCTAAGGAAGAACCAGGCAGGGAGAAGGAGCAGCCAGCACAAGAACCCTAAGGAATCAGGGAAACTGCTGGAGTGTCTGAGAAACAGCAAGGAGGCAAGTGTGAAAGAGGGACCTGAGTCGAGGGAGGAGGAGCAGAAGGAGATTAAATCATAGGGGCAAAGGGAGACAGATTACAACAAGCCTTCCAGATCATGGTGAGAAATTACTGAGTGAAATGGGGAATAAGGAGAGTTTGAACAAAGGAATGAGATGATATGATTTGTCTTTTAAAAAGATTCCTTTAGCTGCTGCCTTGAGAATAGACTGTAGGAGGGTAAGGATGGAAGCTGAGAGACCAGTTTGTGGTGGTTTAGTCACTGCCTCGTGTCCAACTCACAACCCCATGGACTATAGCCTACTAGGCTTCTCTGTCCATGAAATTTCCCAGGAAGGAATACTGAAGTGGGTTGTCATTTCCTTCTCCAGGGGATCTTCCCAACCCAGGGATTGAACCCATGTCTCCTGCACGGCAGGCAGATTCTTTACTGCTGAGCCACCAGGAAAGTCCTCGGGGACCAGTTAGCAGGCTATTAATAGAATCTGGGTAGGAAATGATTTTGACTCAGGCCAGAGTAGAAGTAGCTGAATTGTAATATGTATTTTAGAGTCAACAGGATTTATTGCCAGGACTAGGAAGGAATGTGAGAGGAAGATGGGTCAAGGAAGACCCCAATGTTTTTTGCTTTGACAACTGTGGACACCTGCTACAGATGGAGCAAGTTTTTATAGAAACTTGTGAATGGAGTCAAGGTCTGCCTCGCAGCACTCCATTCACAGCACAAGTCTATGGAAAATTAAAATATGTAATATGTATACGGTGGAAACAGATTTTAAAATATAAACAAGTTATGAGTTAAGGCACAACTGGAGCAGAAGCAACAATGGTTCTGTGTGTGGACAACGGCGTGAAACTTACTGGTCCTTAATCCAGATTCTGTCTTTTTTTTTTGGCAAAACAATTTTCAGAAAATCAGTTATTTTCTCTAAGTTTCCTGTTTTGCAAAATGGAATGAGTATATAATTATCATGGATGAAGATGTTGGAACATAAAGACATTAGAATTGGAGTTGAATTTGAGTTCTTGCAAAATTCTTTACTAAATTAGGGTACTGTATTTACCTTTTTGACCTCAGTTTCTTTATTTGAAGAAAGATGTGTATTTTTTGTAGTACATATACTAAAAAAGAACTGGAGCAAGAAAAATAATACCTAACTTGTGTATATGTTGGGCTTCCCAGGTGGCACTAGTGGTAAAGAACCTGCCTGCCAATGCAGGAGATATAAGAGACTTGGGTTCAGTGCCAGTGTTGGGAAGATCCCCTGGAGGAAGGCATGACAACCCACTTCAGTTTTCTTGCCTGGAGAATCCCATGGACAGAGGAGTCTGGTGGACTATAGTCCATGGGGTTGTAAAGAGTTGGGCAAAACTGAAGTGACTTAGCATGTATACATGCATGTGTATATGTAAAGAGTAGGAAAAATAATGTATTTGGCATAAAGTAGGAGTCCAGTCATTAGAAATTAATTATAACTTCAACTTTTGTTCTTTTATGTATTTATATTTCCATCTTTTTAAAAATGATTTAGGAAAAAAATAATGGAAGAGCAATATTCATAAGAAGTTCCTATTATTCAGAATGCTTAATTTCTTTTTTGTAGTTCGTGTCTATTATGCATTTATTTATTTATCAAAACTTGGTTGCATATATACCATACTTTTGGTACAAGAGAGGTGAAGGTGAATATGGGTCCTGTCATGAAAGAACCCCTTACTCTCGCCACCAAATTTCCTGAAGTAATTAGGATTCAAAATGGTTGATCTCTGTCCCATCAGGGGTCACTGTTTCACAGCTTTAAGCCTAATTCAATCCCCAGTTTCTTTGGTGTATATTGTGTTAAAACGAAACAGATATTGGGACTTCCCTGGTGGTCTAGTGATTAAGAATCTGCCTTGCAAGGCAGGGAACTCAGTTCAATCTGTGGTCCAGGCATTAAGATCCCATGTGGCACAGAGCACCGACGCCCAGCAGCCACAACTTGTTGCGCTGCAACAAGAGATCCCACGTGACACAGCTAAGACCTGGTGCAGTTGAATAAATAAATAAATATTTTTTAAAATAACAGAAAACATGATTCTTGCCTCCAAGTTGCTTAAAATATCTTTAACTTTGGATGAAAGTCTCCAAGGAAAGCATCATTGAAAAATAAATTAAGGCATTACCATGACTGTGATAAGGGCAGCAGGAAAAATGCCCCACCTTAGAGATTTTTTTTCATTTTGATTTTATCTTTCATTAATTTATTCATCCAGCAAATATGTTTAGCTCAAAATGTGGTCTAAAGGATGTGCTTTATTTGGAGCCACAGAAATATATGAAGACAAGGTTTTTGTTTTTGTTTTCTTTTTGTATAATTATTCTGTAATATGATAAACATGGTTATAAAAGTATGGCCAAACATTTGCAATTTTAGGAGAAAAAGAACTGATTCTACCTGAGGTGTTAGGTAAGATTTATTACTGGAGATTTTAAAGGATAAATCACAGGGCCAGGACTAGGATGAAATGATGCAGGTATTCTCCTTGAGCATAAAATTTAAGGAAAGTCAAATAATTCAGTAGTCAAGACAAATATTGCATATTATGGTACATAGGCTGACCATCTATTTTTGTAAGTAAAGTTTTATTGGGCTTTCAACAAATAAGAATGAAGGGTAAGGTTATTCTAAGAAAAGAAAATCATATGAGAAAGCACTAGCAAACTTGGGAATGGTACCTGAGATGTTTAAGAATGATAGCTAGTCTTATGAGGTTAAGAAGATGGTCTGAATAAAGTGGTTGTTTTTCTGTTTGTTTTAATGTGAAATTCTGGATTATAGAGTCATTTCACCCTCTTTTAAAGTTTCCATCTTACTGGAAGCAATGAATTAGATTCATTGACCTTGAAGTATTTGTGATTTATTTGAAAATATTATGGGCTTTAAATAATCTTTGCTAAACTGAATAGTTTTCTTACTACTTTAAGAAGCCTAGAAAAAATGAAAGGACATAGGGAAAGAAGGAAGGTGTTGGAAAGGAGGAAAGAAAAAGGGTGGCAAATGCTTAGAAGGCACATTTTTCTTACTTACAAACTTGCTACTCACTCTACTGTGCATGAAAAAAAGTATAATATGGGTAAAACAAGGGAAACCTTGTAGAAACCATACACATAGCACTCAAGGACTATATAAGAAGACTAAAGATAGGTGGAACATATTTAAGTTTTCTTTTTTTTTTTGGGGGGGGGGTTTCCATTTATTTTTATTAGTTGGAGGCTAATTACTTTACAACATTGCAGTGGTTTTTGTCATACATTGAAATGAATTAGCCATGGGTTTACATGTATTCCCCATCCCGGTCCCCCCTCCCACCTCCCTCTCCGCCCTATCCCTCTGGGTCTTCCCAGTGCACCAGGCCCGAGCACTTGTCTCATGCATCCAACCTGGGCTGGTGATCTGTTTCACCCTAGGTATACATGTTTCAATGCTGTTCTCTTGAAACATCCCACCCTCGCCTTCTCCCACAGAGTCCACAAGTCTGTTCTATACATCTGAGTCTCTTTTTCTTTTTTTGCATATAGGGTTATTGTTACCATCTTTCTAAATTCCATATATATATGTGTTAGTATACTGTAATGGTCTTTATCTTTCTGGCTTACTTTGCTCTGTATAATGGGCTCCAGTTTCATCCATCTCATTAGAACTGATTCAAATGAATTCTTTTTAATGGCTGAGTAATAGTCCATGGTGTATATGTACCACAGCTTCCTCATCCATTCATCTGCTGATGGGCATCTAGGTTGCTTCCATGTCCTGGCTATTACAAACAGTGCTGCGATGAACATTGGGGTGCACGTGTCTCTTTCAGATCTGGTTTCCTCAGTGTGTATGCCT